TTCTACTCAGCACTGGAAGAGTGGAAGGAACCCTGGGCTTGGACCTTGAAGCCGTGGTTCAGTCTTAGCTCTGCCATGGACTGTCATTGACTCATCATGCAGCTCTGGCTCTGAGTCGAAGATAGGGATGACGGTACCCCACAGAACATCGTGAGAAGGGTTAAATGAGACACTTACTGAGCATACCCAATAAATGTCAGAGTTTGCCCTGTCCTTCCATCAGGGACTCTGGAGCTTGTGGTCTTTGGTGACTTCTTGCTAATCTAAGTGCCATAATGCCAAGTCTGCATCCAGTCAGGTTGGTAAAGATGAAATCCCCAACTATATGTACGTGCCTGAAGACCCTTGGTCTATCTTTTATAGGATTGCCCTTAGAATAAACTCCGCTTGGGTCAAGGTCACCAAATAAGGAGCCGGTAAGTGGTGGGATCAGGATGATGAGGTAAACGCTTGTGTATTGAGAGCCATCACTTTCAAGACGCAGGGGCAGCCCACATGGCTTGGCACTCTCCAGCAGATGACCGTCTGTGGCTCTTTGGCTTTGACACCACAGGGAAGAGCAGTGTCCTAGGGCTGAGAGGGGCTTGTGTGCTGGGACTCCAGAGGGAAGTAAAGGGCTCTGTCTTGGTCTGGCTGGGAGGGTTCTCTGGCTGCAGCATCAGTTACTCCATAGGTGCTATTCACAAATGTAAAAAAGGTCCATGTGGGATCACGTGTCCTCATATTTACTTAGGGATCTGGTCTCCCCGAGTAAAGTGTGCACTGGTGTGTGTTGTTAGAAAGAACTGAAATGAGCTCACACTATAGTGAACCTCAGTGACCAGCGCAGCCCTGCAGAAGTAAAGTACCCGTGCACAGATTTTTTCACAGAATGCAGGAGGCGGAGTGTGCTGTGTCACACTGAGTCAGGCACTCATAGATTGGCCCATGCGAGCGCTTACTTCTTCTAGAGCAGCGCCCATCCATAGAGGCATCGTGAGGTCTGACAGTGCATGTGAATGCTTTGGGTTCCTGTCCGTATGTTAGCTTTTATGTCATTCTTCCCCCGGCCCCTTTACTGGGAGTAAAGGGTTGGAGAGGGAGGGAGTTTGGGTTCTCATGACCCCTAGAGATGGCCGGCTGTCCTCAAGGAAATGTTTTGAGATCTTCCTGTTGAGCTAGAAAAGAATCATTAAAAAAAAACAAACAAAGTTCAAGTCAGTTCCAACTCATGGTGTCCCCATGTGCCTGTTCGTGTCAGAGTAGAACTGTGCCCTGTAGGGTTTTCATGTCTGTGACCTTTTGGAAGCAGATTGCCAGGCCTTTTTTCTGAGGTGCCTCTGGGTGGATTTGAACTGCCAACCTGTCAGTTGGTAACTGAGTGTTTACCTGTTTACACCACCCAGGAACTAAAGAATCATGGCTGGGAAATCATGAAGGGAGACAGGACTGAAGGAGGGAAGCTGTGTATAGTAGTAGAACTTACACAGCCATTCAGCTCACTGTTTTCCAGAGTGACACGAAAGTGGGGGTTTTCTGCCACGCAGTCCCTTTGAAAGAGAGAAATCACCAGGGGAGAAAAAAGTGCCCATGTAGGGGTTTAGTAAAAGCAGAGAAGATTGGGGCTGTGCTCAGCAGCCTGGTCTACACCGCCCCTTGACATCTGTCTACAGTGAAGAGTAAAGTCAGATTGCCTGGACAGGCTAGATGCCCTCGCCAGCCCAGGCGGGACCCCCCGCTCTGTCTCCAAGCTCTTGTGAAATTATTGAAGAATCTCGAACTTGGGCAAGCTAGAGAGATTTTCAGTCCAAGAGCAAGAAAAGTTTTTTTTGTTTTGTTTTTGTTTTTAATTATTTTTGTTTTGCTCAATGCACACCAAATTAGAAAAATCACCGGTTAGGTTTTATTGTATTTTAACTTCGGCAAAGAAACGGGACTTCATTTGACTGCCCGTGGTCCTTTCTGATACTTTAATAACCCACCTGTTTTCCATCCTGAAGCCCTTTGGTGGGAGGAAGGGGCTAGGAAAAGAGAGAGGAGGTGAAGTCCAGTAAGCATCTTCTGGTTCCCTATGGGGGCTCACAGGAGCCCTGGTGGTGAGTGGTTAAGTGCTTGGCTGCTAATCAAAAGGTCAGTGGTTTGAACCCACCAGTAGCTCCCAGGGAGAAAGATGTGACAGTCTGCTGCTGTAAAGATTACAGCCTTGGAAACTCTATGGGGCAGTTCTACTCTGCCCTATAGGGTTGCTATGAGTTGGAATCGACTCGATGGCAGTGGGTTTGGTTTGGGTTATGGGGGTCACAGGTATTCCAGAGCTCCAGGGGTCCCCAGTATGGGTGAGGGCATACTTTGGGGTGCTCGAAATGTTAAACTTCATGAAGTACCAGCCAAATCTAGTTAGATTTTGGCTTTCGGTTATGATTATCAAAGCGTAAGCTGGTGAGGAACCAGGCATATATCCTTCGTGGGCGGCACATCAGGGACCTGATGTAAGCCCCATCACACTGCTTAATCCTCTGCGGAAGGCCAGATCCACCCATTTCAGCTTAAATGCCCAGTCTGATGACATACTGGTTTTCTCGGGCCTCGGTGACACTTTGTTGTGAGGCCCCTGGGGAGTTTGCAGTTGTTAGCTATTCAAACCCGAAGTTCTGGTTTCTGCAGATCTTGGCTTCTTGTAGTTCTCTTACTGCACATTTAGCATCTACTAACAAAATCCCCGTAAATGCTGCAGAAGGGATGTTAGGGATATTTCAGATGCGTAGACTTGCCAGAAGATGGCACTTACCTTTTTTTCCACCCCTGACGCCCTCTGTTAAGTTCAAGTAGAACATGTTTGTCCGTTGTTGATGGAATGGTCCAGGAGCTGGCAATAGGAATTCTTCCTCTCTTGATGTCTTGCTCACCACCAGAAGAACTGCTCCTGTAGTCTCTCTGCAGTTTTCTCTAGAGGCCAATGTATGTAGAAAAAAGGTTCCTTCTCTGTAGGGAAGTGAATGTTGAAAGTTGCATCCTGACAGTTAATGGATATTCATGCTTAAGTAGAGTGTAATACGTGATAAAGTAGCCTAACGAGTTTATCGTAAAACAACGATATATATCTACTACATTTTTGACTTAAAAAAATAACCCACAAAAAACCGAAGAAGCTATTCAAGCCTGGAAACAATACAGGTATCTAGCGGGGAAAAGCTTGAAAGTTCTGCAAATGAGAAATAAACATTGGCAGCTTGGAGTTTAATTCATAGCGTTAGGTCTGACATTTTCACTTCAGTTTTATTTTTCTTGAATAAAATCAGAAACTTAATCGTTTAGGGTTAATCGAATATATCATCTCCCAGAATGTTATTTTCATTTCCTTCTGCAGCTTTATCAGAGACTGGCAGATAGGTGTCTGGCTGCAGCCCGGTGATAACTCATTTTCTGATTGTTTTATTACATGAGTTCGCTCCCCGATAAGATAATGTTCTTAACTCAAAGCAGTTTGAAGTGCTTTAAAACTTTGCTCTGTCTAATGCTTTGTTGCTTTTACAGCTTAAAGTTTTTCAAGCCTGGCCAAGAAGCTGTGAAGTACCAGGGGCCCCGGGACTTCCAGGCGCTGGAGACCTGGATGCTGCAGACACTGAATGAGGAGCCCGCGGTGAGCTGAGCACACGGGAAGCAGTGCCTTCCTTCCGACATTTGGGTCCTAACGACCTGGGCAAGGCCAGTGTAGGGGAAGAATTAAGGCTGCCATTTTAAAGCAACATTTATTTAGAACTCATTGATATTTTAAGGAAAGATTAACTTTAAAAAAATTGTTTATTACGGAAGTATTCACACATGTACACAGTTAGAGAGAGGAGTATAATGAACCCATGTACCCCTCACCTGGCTTCAGCACTGATCACCTGGTGGCCACCTGGTTTCGTCTTGTCCCTGCCACCTGCTTTTTAGCAGCAAAGTCAGCCCTCCTGGCATGGTGTTTGTCAATATTTCCGTATGCATCCAGTAGATACACACTTTTTATCTTTTAGCATAACCACTGTGCCACTGTCACATGTAATACGATCGACAATAATTGTGTAGCATCAGAAGTTGATTCTTGGCTACTTGGGGTCCAGGCCAGCCCTGGGCCAGAATATCTAGTCCATGAAGACTCTGGCACCCCTGCCCCATCCCCAAGGACCAGTGCCTGCCACCACCCGCAGCAGCCTCGCACGGTCTCACTCTTACCCGCTGTACCCACTGTGTGAGTCATTCTTCTCCTCTGTCCTCAGTCCACAAGGCCTGAGCTAGCTTTAAACCAAAAAAACCAAACCCATTGCCATCAAGTCAATTCTGACTCACAGCAACCCTATAGGACAGAACAGAACTGCCCCGTAAGGTTTCCAAGGAGCAGTTGGTGGATTCAAACTGCTGACCTTTTGGTTAGTAGCCAAGCTCTTAACCACTGCACCACCAGGGATAATTTAATACCCTCAGTCCTCTTAGTGTCTAGATGCCCCTCTGTATAAGGGTGTCTGAGTCTCCTAGTACTGCTGTAACAGAAGTACCACAAGCGGGTGGCTTTAAAGAACAAATCTATTTTCTCACAGTTTCAAAGGCTAGAAGTCTGAATTCAGGGCACCGGCTCTAGGGGAAGGCTGTCTCTCTGTTGGCTCTGGGAGAAGATCCTTCCTTGCCTCAGCATCTGTAACTCCGGCATTCCTGGGTTCCTTGATGGTCTTCCCAGTGCATCACTTCTCCCGTTTGTGCTTGTCTGTGTCTATGCTGCTCCTTGTATCTCACAAGTGCTTATGTTTGGGACACGCTCTACACTGATAGGCCTCATTAGCATAACAAAGAGAACCCTATTCCCCAAGGGATCACATCCACAGGTATAGGGGTTAGGATTCCAACACATATTCTGGGGGGACACAGTTCAATCCATAACACCAGGTAACTGTGAAAACTGTCAGATTTCTGAAATATTTTTAAAGACATCATAGTTGCATGTAGCCTGTAGAATGCGACATACTAAGAAAAATTTATAATCCCTCCCCCCGCCAATTAACGTTGGGAGTCTTAAATTTTGTTATAAGCCATTATCATCCTAAACCACTAAACGGCCCTTTGTGGTGATTTTGGGTTAGCGCTCAGAGTGAAAAGGCCCTGGGCCCGAGTTGGACTTGGCTGGCGGTGTTTCGTTGGTGTGGTACTAGAAAGATGGCTGGGTAGCCAAGCTGTCTGTACATCTCTAATGAAACATTAGACGTCTTCGCTGTAATTGTCACGTGAACAATTAACTGAGACTGTCTTGTTGTATCCAGTAAGAGTTCATTGCTTTGAATGTTGTTTATGGTCGGGTATAATTGCTGTATGGTGAAGAATAGTTTTGACAGAGACTTAATCTGATTTTAGCGAAAACCACGAAACTCTCGGTAACTTTGCATCTTTCTCAGTTCTGTAGTCATAAACAGAAAGCTGGAGGAGCAGATGTAACTTTTGTGTCTATTTAAACTTCAAATTGCTTCCTTTGTAAAAAAAATTATTTTGGGGGTGGGGCGTTGGATGGGAGGAAACCAATTTTAGAAGAGAATTAATAGCCTCAGAAACCCTGGTGGCATAGTGGTTAAGAGCTACATCTGCTAACAAAAAGGTCGGCAGTTCGAATCTGCCAGCCACTCCTTGGAAACCCTATGAGGCAGTTCTACTCTACAGGGTCGCTATGAGTTGGAATCAATTCGACAGCAATGGGTTTGGTTTGGTTTTTGGTTTAATAGCCTCAAGTAAACTCTTAAACTTTAAAGTGTGTTATGGATTAGTTCATCAAAAAAGCTAGTCTTCCATGTTGACTGTATGTAAGAAACCAGCATCCAGTGTCAGGGTGGCAGAAAGATTTCCTCTCATGGAAGAACTTCCATTCAGAGGAGGTGGACGGCTGAAGTGGGGCCAAGTCCTGGCTCAGCAGAGGTTGTTGAGAAGTGCCCTGTCTCCTTGATATAGAGAGGAATGGCATGTGAAACCCCTCGTTGCCACCCAGACCCCAGTTACTCGATTCGCCATAGCCATATTTTAGTGTCTCAGGCAATAGAGATCTCACATAATTGCCAGAAACCATGACCATAGAAATTAAAACCAAGTGGACTCCGACTCATGGTGACCCCATGGGTATCAGAGTAGAACTGTGCTCCATAAGGTTTTCAGTGCAAGTAGATCACCAGGCCTTTCTTCTGTGGCAGCTCTCGGTGACTTGAACCTCCAATCTTTCAGTTAGCAGCCAAGCATGTCAGCCATTTGTACCACTCTATAAAAATTAGAAGTCCATTTTTGATGCTTTTCTTTGTAAGACTTCTCTTTTAGCTGAGGTAATGTGTCTTATTACGGAAAAAGTTCAAATGTGCGAACTTTATATTGCCAACCAAAAACTCTTTTTCAATTTGAACTTCGCTTTTTAATTTAAACAGATAGTGTTTCTTTTTTTAAAAATGATATTTTATTGTGTTTTTGGTGAAAGTTTACACAGCAAATTAGGTTCCATTTAACAATTAGTACACAAATTGTTCAGTGACACTGGTTACATTTTCACAATGTGTCAACATTCTCATTAATTCCATTCTGGATGTTTTGTTTCCAGTAATGTGGTTTCACTGTCCCCTTACCCTTTCATCTTTGCTTTAGAGTAACTGTTGACTATTTGGTCTCATACAAATGATTTTATTAAAGGTACACAGTACTCACTGATAATATTCTTTATTTTATGAGCCACTCTGTTATTTAGCTAAAAGGTGACAGCAAGGGGTAGTTTCAGTTCAAGGTTTATGGAGTATCTCAGGGCTATAGTCTCTAGTCTAGGCCTAGGGAGTTCTCTAGTTTCAACCTGTCCAGTAAGTCTGAACTTATTAAGAATTTGAGTTCTGTTCCACATGTTTCTCACCTTCTATTAGGATCCATCTGCTGTGGCCTTGATCAGGACGGTCGGTAGTGGTAGCTGGGCACCATCTAGGTCTTCTGGTCTCAGGGTAGATGAGGCTGTGGTCAGTGTAGACTGCTAGTCCTCAGTTTCTTTGAGTCTTTGACCTCCTTTTTTCTCGTTTGCTCTGGACGAGAAGAGACTGATAGTTCTATCTTAGATATAAGCAAAAACTTTTTTATAAGCGCTTCTTTAAAAAAAGTTTTTCATCTGTATTTATACCTAAATAAGTTAACATATAAATATTTATATTTAGGCAGGATACATTAAGGTTTTTCCCCCCAAGTGTTATGGCAATATTAAGAAGACTTAAACAAAAAAAAACCTGCCGTTTAAGAAAATGAGAATATAATATAAGCATATTCTACCTCAATTTTTATATTTCCATGTTTGCTTCTGTTTTTTTATAAACAATTTCAATCATAAATATAAACACGTTTCATCTCATTGATGATTTTCTGTTATGGTTATGTAGTCTTTATATTATTCATATATTATCATATGGATTTGCCATAATTCACCTAGTCTATCAGTTAATATTTAGGTTATTTATAACTTTTCTCTCACTGGTAATGCTGTAAGGAATATGTTTATCTTTGTAAAGGACTTTTTTCTTCTTTTGGATGATTTCTTTAAAATATATTCCCAGACATAAATTGCAAAGCAAAAGCAAGAACATTTTTATAACACTTACTGAATATTGCCACATTTCTTTCTTAAGAATATACCAGTTCGCTTTGCCCCCAGCAGGATGTGAGTGTGCCTGCCTCTGTCACACACTGTGTTGTTCCCATGAAGGGGGAACCTTTCTGGTATCTGACAAGGCACACAGGAGGCCCAGCACTCCAGTCAGCCCCCCAGTGAACAATTTAATACTGAAAGCCCTTTGAACGCCTGGTAAAGAGTGAAACACAGCATCTCCTTTCATCTTGTGTGAATTCGCTGACTATCCCCTTAGCCTTTGAGCTCGTGGGCATTCTTTTGTGCGGCTAATGAGCACTGCGAAAGGTCTGACCAGCTAGCAGCAGAAAGGAAAATTTTGTGGTGCTTTATAACTTTGCATGGCGTTCAGCTGTCAGCACCTTTGAAGCCTCGACAACTTACCTTGGGGATTCTGTTTAACAGGAGTATGAACCACCAGGTAAAAATTGAGGGATAAGCACCTATCTGTCTGCAACAAAAACAGTGATTCAGTGATCTTTCCTTCACTTCTGGTCACTTTGGTTGGAGGCTGCAGCTGTACTGGACTCAAAAGCAGAGATGTGTAGAATCGTGTAATACTGGGCTGGGGGGCAGTGACAGTTCAGTGGTAGAACTCTCATCTGCTGTGCAGGAGACTCAGCTTTGATTCTCAGCCAATGCACCTGACGTTCAGCCACCACCCATTTGTCACTGGAGGCTTCCATGATGCTATGATGCTGAACAGGTTTCAGTGGAGCTTCCAAACTAAGATGGACTAGGAAGAAAGGCCTGGAGATCTACTTCCAAAAATCAGCCAGTGAAAACCTGTAGATCATGTCAGTCTGATCCTTTTGTACATGGGGTTACCATGAGTCAGGGGCCGGCGTGAAAGCAACTGTTTACTGGTTCCCAGACAAACTCAGTGACTGCCGTTGTGTTTCTTTCTCTTAGACACCAGAGCCAGAAGTAGAACTGCCCAGAGCCCCTGAGCCGAAGCAGGGCCTGTATGAGCTCTCAGCGAACAACTTTGAGCTGCACGTTGCACAAGGTATGCTGGCGACTTCTGTGACAGGCTCTGTACCTCATGGAGGGAGCCCTGACCTGAACCTCCTCGACGCGCTTGGTTTTTCTTCTTGCCATTTGAGGGCTCACAGACAGACAGCTGCATTGGTAGCAACACCAGGGGTTTCTCTCTTCATCGTTCAATGCTTCTCTTAGAAATTATATCTCCTTCTATTCCCTGCTCTTACAGAAATGCCCACGTTAGCTCTAATCTTACAACTTGAAGCTCACAAATGATGAGTGGGCACAGTGAGTTTGTACACCAGCTGGACAGCGCCTCCTCACGTAACCAGGTGTTCACTTCTGCTAATGTCCATCACACGCTTATTGACCCGAGGCGAAAACGAAGCTCTCAGACCCGTCCAAACAGAATTAAATGGACACTCATACCATGTGTATCACATTAGGCATTCTTTACATTTAAATGTCTTTCCATCTCACATCCCATATTTTAAACGTGGTTTATGGCCTATTTCTAATGTGAACGGATGAGTTTCCTCTCTTCACGCATAGATGTGTTTCACAAAAGCTGGCTCAACGATGACCGACTGGAAAGCACACTCAGTGTCCTTGGCTGCCTTCCGTTCTCAAATGCTACCATGGAGGGAAGTCCTCCTGAAGGCTGGGCTGAGAACTGTGAGACAGAAAGGGCTTCAAATTGTATCTGGCCTGAGAACTTCATGCCCGCTGGGAGTGGACACCCCTCCCCACACCACACTTACTGCCGAAAATAGCTTACTGTGTTGTTGTCAGCCTTTCCCCGTTTTTTCCAAAGGGCAGTATTTAATCTGTAACCAAGGTCAGACCGTGGGCCCTCAGCGTATTCCCAGCTGGGGGGACTCACTTGAAGGTGAGATTCGCTTGGGCTCTGTCTTAGTTACCAAGTGCTGCTGTAACAGAAAGACCACAAGTATGTGGCTTTTAACAAACAGAAATTTATTTGCTCACAGTTTAGGAGGCTAAAAGTCCGAATTTAGAGTGCCAGCTCTAGGGGAAGGCTTTCTCTCTGTTGGCCCTGGGTGAAGGTCCTTGTCTCTTTTCAGCTCGCTTCTTGGTTCCTTGGAGAGCTCATATGGCCTGGCATCTGTCTTCCCCCATCTCTGCTTGCTGGCTTGGTTGCTTGCTTCATCTGCTCTTTTTATTATCTCAAAAAGAGACTGATTTAAAACGCACCCTATGCTAATATGGCCTCAGTAACATAACAAAGGGATTCTAACCACACGTATAGGGGTTAGGAGTTAACAGCACATATTTGGGGGCACACAGTTCAGTCCATGACAGGCCTATGCAGGACATGCTAATAGAGTCACCTGTCGATAGATCGTTCCCCTTGTGAGTCAGGTCACGGGTAAAGGGCCACTATGTAGACGCTACATTGTGCTGCTCTGGGAAGGGTCTCTTGCTACAGCGTTCTGCTGAAAGCTACGGGCTCCCTGCCCAGCGTCATGGCTCCCGCTCTGTCCTCCGATCTGGTTCGTAGAGAGCCTGTCTCCATCGTGTGGCTTGGGCCAGCTGTCCCCCTTACTGCACACACATGCTGACGAACCGTGTGCACAGGCGTGTTGCAGCCCTGCAGACAGGTGAACGTTTTTAAGCAAGTTGGTCATCGTTCCCCTCAAACTCTTTGTTGCCATGGTGAGGTGGCAGAGTCCTGCTCTGAGGCCGAGCCGCGTTTAAACTTCCAGTGATATTTTTTTCTCCCTTGCCCATAACCCGATTTCATTTTCCTCTCATCCTGCCATCGCTAGGCCCTCAGCTGGTCAAAGCAGAAGAGCCTAGCTAAAAATCTCCAATGTCCAGATAATGAGGAGGGTTTTTTGGGTTTTTTTTTCCTAGCCAAGAGGGAAACATTTAATTTTTTTAACCTATTTTATTGGAAAACATCACACAGATACAGAAAGCTTGGTGAATTGGTATAAAGCAATCACCCTGTAGCCATTGTCCTCTTCAAGAAATAAAACTCTGCCAGTCACCCCGAAGTTCTCGTGCCCCAGCCAAATCACAGCCCATCTCCCCAGTAACCACTTGCCTGACTTTTAGGGAAGCCCTGTCCTTGCCATTCTTTATGGTTTCATCACCCAAGTCTGCATTCCGAAGCACTAACGTTTAGTTTACTTTTGACTTTTTTTTTAATATCTCTCTTAAATTTCTTTTAATCTACATGTTCCCTCAGCATCTCTTTCCTTTCTTGCATTTTATTTGCTGAAGAAACAGGTTGTTTGCTGTGTAGCTCTCCTCCACTCTGGGTCTTGCTGATTGTATCCCCATGGTGTGCTTTAACACATTTGCTGGGTTTCTCTATCTCCTGAAAATGGTTAGTTGAACCTAGGGGCATGATCAGTTCCAGTTTGAATCTTGGGGGCAGGGGCAAGACTTCAAGCCTGTTGGTGGCAGATAATGTCTGATTGTGTCTCTTTGTGATGTTAGCAGCCATTGACAATCATCGCCTATGAACAGTAATTCTGTCTTAGTCTTTTAGTGCTGCTAGAACAGAACTACCACAAGGGGGATGGCTTTGATGAGCAGAAATTTATTTCCTCACAGTTTAGGAGACTAGAAGCCTGAATTCAGGGCACCAGCTCTGGGGGAAGGTCCTCGTCTCCTTCAGCTTTCCTTCCTTGGTTCTTCGGTGATCGTCACGTGGCCTGTATCTTCCCCGCTGTTTGCTCTTCCTTGGGGTTGCAGAATGCTGATGTTCCAACTCAAGCATTCCTTCTTCGTTTTTAGCAGGAGAAACTCACCCTCACCTATCACTTGGTTATTCCCGGCACAGTTCATACAGGGAAGGCAGGAGAACTGCCTGTTCTCCCCCTTTATTGTCTGTTTTCAAAATAATCACTTGGTTCTCCATCATCCTTCAAAGATGACAAAACCAAAAAAAAAAAAAAAAAAACCAAACCCATTACTGTAGAGTCAGTTCCAACTCATAGTGACCCTATAGGACAGAGTAGAACTGTCCCATAGGGTTTCCAAGGAGTGCCCAGCAGATTCAAACTGCCAGTCTTTTGGTTAGCAGCCTTAGCTCTTAACCGCTGTGCCACCAGGGTTTCCAAAGATGATAGATTTGTTTTGCCTTTGGTTTTGTTCTGAGTATCGTTATGAACTCATGGATGCAAACTTTTTTTTTTTTTTTTAGTGTTATAGAGATACATACCACACAACATCTGCCAATTCATCGTCTTTCACGTGCACACTTTAGTGATATTGGTTATATTAATCAGGTTGTGCAGCCATCACCAATAATCCTGGCCACGGTTTTCATCACCATAAACTCACTGCTTTCTAAACAATGACTCCCTTCTCCACCTCCCTCCTGCCCCTGGTAACCACTAATCACACTTATGGATGCAAACATACTTGGTGGAGAGTCACTTTTTATCAGTTAAAGGGTTCATGCTGAACTGAGATCTGCTGAACAAGAAGACAAAGATCTAATTCTTGAATTAAATCTCCGGTGAGGTCTAATGTAAATGACTGTTTCTTTCCCCCTTCTCCTCCTTGGCCCTCCTTAAAGGCAACCACTTTATCAAGTTCTTTGCCCCATGGTGTGGTCACTGCAAAGCTCTGGCTCCGACCTGGGAGCAGCTGGCTCTGGGCCTCGAACATTCCGAAACTGTCAAGATTGGCAAGGTAAGTGAAAGCTCTTATTAAACTGGAAATGGACTGCCTTTGGCTGGCTTAATTAGGCAGAGTGGCCCATTATTCATTCTGTGCGCAAAGTCGCAGACTCGATTTATTAATTCCGTTTAGTATGCCACTTGATAATTTATCTCACCTTTGCAGATGGCAGTCTAGTTTTGGGTTTCCTGGCTTTCCCCAGCATCTCGATAAATCATAGCCTTGGCCGCTCTGTTTATTCTGAAGAGATGGCCAATTCGTAATTGGCAGCACCAGAGCCCTTTCTGCAGAGACGTGGGACAGAGCCTTAGAGAACGCTCACTTGACATGCTTGGAGACGATCCACATTTGATCTCACCCAGCGGCTCTTTCCTGGAGGACCCTTGGCTTTGTACTCTCACGGGCCTGCAGCAGGCTCTTTTTGTTGGTGAGCCGCCGTGCGCACCGCTGCCTGCAGTTCTTTCCAGCTTTTCCTGCTTAGATAGAGAAGCCAGAAGTGATGTCTGACAGCTTCTGTGTAATTGGGTATTCTGGAAATGCCCAGAGCAGGCTCCAGTGTAGCTCCAGATCATCGAGTACTTTTAATCTCATCCATCCTCTTGCACCCACCAACATCCTATATGGATTTCCTTTTATACAAATCTCTGATTCTGACTTTGCATGGGGTGGATTTGTATGTAGATGTAATGCTACATGTCCAGGAACTGTGCTTAATAAGATGATCTACCCAGCATGGTGGAGTCCCTGGGTGGTGCAAACGGTTAACACTCTCGGCTGCTAACCGAAAGGTTGGAGGTTCAAGTCCACCTAGAGGCACCTTAGAAGAAAGGCCTGGAGATCTACTTCTGAAAAATCTGCCATTGAAAAACCCTATGGAGCACAATTCGACTCTGACACATGCGGTCTCCATGAGTTGGAATCAACTCAACGGCAACACTGGTTTGGACTCAGCATGGTGAGAGCGTTAAAAGTATAAACTTGGAAGTCACATAGACCTGGCTGGCTGACTTGGGCCACCTCTCCATGCTTCAGTCTCCTTCTTTGCAAAACCAAGATGAGATCTACCCTGTGGTGTTGTGAGGTTGTAAGTAAAATGCTTAGTACAGTGCTTGGAAGGGAGCAAATGCTTGATAAACTGTAATGGTTATTGCTATTAGTTAAATAGATTCTTCACTGCTGCGTGTTGAACAGTTTCAGTGGTGTGTTCTAATTATGTTATGATCATGAGTTTTATATTTATTGAACATTTCATAGAAGTAATTATAGAATAATCTTGCCATCTAATTTCCTCATTTCTTGTATCCTTACTGTAAATTATTTTCTGAATTCATTTAGGAGTTCATTGATTTTTCAGTCTGTGTTAGCGGGAGGTCTTGACAGAACCAGGCATGAGCAGACACGGCCTAACTCGCCATTCCGTGGCACCTCCTCCTCTGGACGGATGTGGGACTGGCTTAGGCTGGACCCTTACGAGTGCTTGTTACCCTCCACAGACCTCGGGTTGAGACTTCCTGTGCCTCAATTTAACACTTTAACTGCTTTGTGACTTCAGTCTTATCTGTTAAAATAATACTTTTACCCTGCTGTGTTGACATACAGTCCTGTTTAGCTGATTTTAGTGCCAGTAAACCCATTGCCATTGAGTCAGTTCTGACTCATAGGGACCCTATAGGACGGAGTATTGGTTTTCTAGGCGGTAATCTTTATGGGAGCAGATTGCCAGGTCTTTCTCTCACGGAGTGGCTGGTAGGTTGGTACCACATACTTTTTAGTTAGCAGCTAAGCGCTTAACCACTGCACCACCAGGGCTCCTTTAGTGCCAGTAGAAAATCAGAAAGAAAGAAGTCCTTTAGAATAAAATGTTTCGTGAAAATGTTGGACAAATAGAATCTTTACAAGATTTAAATAAAATGAAAAGTTTGAAGGGCTCTAGCAGTGGATAAATTAAGCTTATAAAATGAAAAGCAAATTAGAATCTCAATTTGATGTGTTTTCGTGATTTACCTTCATTATTTGCCAAAGATTCCTATGTACCATTGACTACTTGTTCCTCCTGGGTTTTCTAACCCCATGCATTTGAACGTGCTGCAAGTGTCCACGTGGCACGCTGAGCCAGGCCACGCCTTGCCCCTCCCCAAAAGTTAGGGTGGGCCTTTTTTCTCCATCTTCTACTGCTCAGGTCAAATTGTTGCTTCCTCAAAGTCAGCATTTTGAACTAAGCTAAACTAAATCACGTCTCTGAGTTAAATCTCATCATCCGGCTCCCTTGGCTCAGGTGTATTCTGAGGTAGCCTTTAGGAAAACTTGGCAAAAACTGTAGCTTGCTAGCAGAAATGCTACAGAATCTTAATTAAAAACATTTTTTTTTGAAAGTAGCAAGTATCCAGCAGTCAGTTTAGCAAGAAGGCATGTGAAGGAAGTGCCTGTGAAGTTGACTTGACTTGGTCTTTAGGTCGATTGTACACAGCACTACGAGCTCTGCTCTGGAAACCAAGTCCGAGGCTACCCGACTCTCCTCTGGTTCCGAGACGGCAAGAAGGTGAGGCTTTAGATCTTGGTGCTGAGATGGAACTATTCTTCTGTTAACGAAATGGCCTGAGTTGTTGAGTGGTTGCAGGGAATTGCCGAGATCACTGGTTGGGCACTGGCTTGGAGCACAATGTACTTTTTTTTAATTGAAAAGATTTGGGCAGTTGAGAAGTCAAAGCTGTCAGATGTTACACTATTTTAAAACATGTTTATTGGCTTGGGTTAGTGCTAGACTAACTAGAATCTCCAGCCATAGGGTAACTGTGCCCTGACCATGAGCACACATATTCCGGGCATTTGGGGTGCTAACTCTTGGTCATGGTAAGGTTCCTTCCTCCTTCTCCGAGGCTTCACCATCTGGGCTGCTGTTGAGCTTCTCAGGATATCACAGTGGGTTGAAGGCTCTCGGGTAGGCATGAACCCTGGCCTCTGCTGACTCCTGACTCTGAGAGGGAAAGGCTATAAAATCCCCTCACCAAAACCAAAGCATTCAGTGGATAATTTATGCTTTACTATTTAAATTTGGGCATGCAGACATCGTAAAACATGCACGACAGTGGCTGAGACCTCTCGTGGGTATCTTCACTGGGTGAGTGGGAGGTTGGGGGAAGGTTGAAGTGGCTCAGAGCACTTACACGTACTAATCAGCGGCATGTTTGTGTGGCCCGGGTCTCTGACAGATTGATCAGTACAAAGGAAAGAGGGACTTGGAGGCCCTGAGGGATTATGTGGAGTCACAGCTGCAAGGCCCAGAGAGGGAGGCCGCGGAGACCATTGAGCCTTTTGAGGCCCTAGAGCTGGCTGTGGAGCCTGCTGCAGACAAGGTGAGTGCCTGTCCCAGACAGGATCGCAGAAATGGTCCCTCTCCCCCCTCCCCCCGCCCCCATGGCACTCTCCTCAAACACTTTGGACAAAATGACGACTTGGGGACAGTTAAGAGTAATTCAGGAGTCTCTGGGTGGTGCAGATGGTCAGTGCACTTGGCTGCTAACCGAAAGGTTGGAGGTTTGAGTCCACCCAGAGGCAGCTTGAAAGAAAGCCCTTGTGATCTACTTACAAAAAATCAGCCGTTGAAAACCATGGAGCACAGTTCTACTCTGACACGCATGGGGTCACCATGGGTCGGAGTCAACTCGATGGCCACTGGTTTTAAGGAGTAATTCTGATGACTGGCTCCACTGACATGGCATCACGAAATGTTTTCTTCAACTACTTTGACATGCTCGTAAGGGTGAGCGTAAACCAAAGTTTCTCCTTTAAACCCTGAAATAGGCGTGAGACAAATCCTGAGGCAGTTTTTGGTGTCAGAATCTCTAGAGAATTCTCCCTTTTTGATTCATTAAGGGTGGGGAGTGACTGTTTGAGGGCATTTGCTGTAAAATGGTCGCTGCTGCCGTGACCTGCTCCGTCGCTGTACTTGAACACTGTGGTGCGCCCCGAGAGAGCTGCAGCACAGAGGGCTTGTGCAGTGGCCCTGAAAAGCAACCCATTGTGGGCCATTTAATTGATTTGATAGTCTGTACCATATCGGAGGTTAGTCATTCATTCAGATATTGCAAAGGTTTTAGATTCATTCATTCTGCATCTATCAAGCATGGGTTATGTTTCAGGCACTGTAGTAGGCTATCAGGAAACAAAAGCAAGCAAAATTATTTTCTCGCATGTCTGTTGGGGGGACAGATGGAAACACACAGTGGGTGTGTTCCAGGGGCTTTGATAAAAGTGTGTGCAGGGCCTGCCACGGTTGTTTGAGAGAGGTGGGGGCAGATAGGCAGGAAGTGTCACTGAGGTGCTGAGAGGTTGACAGGTGATTGCTGGGTAGGCAGGTGGGGAAGGCTCACCAGGTGGAGGGGCTGCACGGGAAACAGCCACCACACTCAGGGCAGGGCCCGCAGATGGGACTGGGGGTCGGGGTGCAGAGGAGGACAGTGCAGGGAGCCGGGAGAGCCGCAGGTAGGAGCTGCATCATAGGGACTTTGTTAGCCAGCCAAGAATTCTGTACTTTATCCTATATCTATAGGGACCATTGGAAACCCTGGTGGCATAGTGGTTAAGTGCTATGGCTGCTGACCAAAAGGTCACCAGTTCAAATCCACCAAGCACTCCTTGGAAACTGTGGAGCAGTTCTACTCTGTCCTACAGGGTTGCTATGAGTTGGAATCAACTCAACGGCAGTGGGGTTTGTTTTTTGATAGGGAACATTGAAGGGTTTCCAGCAGATTTGAATTTTAGAGAGGTGACTGGCAACTGCATATATGATAGGGATGTAAAACTGTCGTATGAGGCCAGATGACGATAAGACCCCAACCCAAGCTGTGACAACTGAGTGGAGAGAAGGCAAAGCAAGTGTCAGGGGTCCAGGTCTCCCGAGCACAGCTATTGGAGGGTGGGAGGTGAGGGAGTGAGAGGGGCTAGGGGCACTACCAGAGTCCTGGCATATACGGGGGCAGTGGTACCAAGCACAAGGGACGGGCTAGAAGGGGAGGGCGTGATGAGCTGTTTTCAAAACGCTGACTCTCAGGGCTGTGGAGGGATGTCTGGGAGACACTGCAAAGGAGCCTGGGTGGAGCAAGCAGTTTGCAGTCAGCTGCTACCCTGAAGGTTGGTGGTTTGAACCCACCCAGCGGCTCTGTGGAAAAAAGGCCTGGCAAACTTTATGTTATGAATACAGCCAAGAAAACCCTATGGAGCTCAGTTCTACTCTGTAACACATGGGGTCACTGTGAGTCCAAACTGACTTGACGGCACTGGGTTTGGTTGTTTTTTTTTTTTTTTTCATTTTGTCCAAACCCGTTGCCATTGAGTCGATTCCGACTTACAGCGACCCTACACAGTTAAACATAGGGGTCTGTAGCTCAGGCTATGTGGGTTGAGTCCACACCCCCGACTTTAGAGAGAAGCTGACGCTGAAGCCGAAGCCGTGGGTGAGAGATTATTTGAGGGGAATCAAAATGTGTCTTCCCAGGAAAGCAATGCCTGATTTTCTACCCAATAACCGTTAAGTCCTGTTGATCAACATATTTCCAAAGCAGAACACTCATATCACTACTTCAGTTCACACAGTACACTTCAGAGAAGTCTAAGTTCTTACTTGGCCACAGGGACATTTGGGCAGAGGAAGGGGCAGTGTGGCTTTGTTCCTTGGGGTGGGGGCCGGGGCCAGGTGTGTGGTGAAGGCCTCACCAGGAACTCTTGAGCCCTCGACATTTATACAAGAGAACGAGACTCGCTGGCACCATCTCTCCCAGGGCTGTGTTTGGAATTGGACAATCCAGTGGAGCCACCTACCCCATTCTCCCTGGCTGGGAACAGCACCAGGCTTCCTCGCCCCCACGACCCATTCCTCAGCTGGACGCTTGTAGGCTGGGGATGGCCTGGGCGTTAGTTAAAAGCCAACACTTTGGTTTCAGAAGTAAACACATGATTTTGTAGTTATGACCACATATGTTGAGGAGTGTACGTGTCCTGGTGGTTATAAAGGTCATCCCAAATTGAGTATAATTATATACTATGAGTATTTTCATCAAACCCAGAGCTGCTTCTATTTATAATCCAGTTTTCCACCATTAAGTGGGTCTTTCAGCAAGTGAGGTGTAATATTTCTGGATGTCAAGAAAGATGGTAGTGTTCCACAGTGGCCCACCTGGCGGGGCCTTGTCCTGACTCACATACGTTAGCAGATGCCACACCCACGTGGAGCAGCCCGAGAACATTCGGCCACACGCTCAGTCGCCCATATTCTCACTCTCACAGGAGAATCACAGAGTTATTTTGTAGAAATACCAGTATCAGTTGTCATCGAGTTGACTCCGACTCCTGGTGACCCCATGTGTGTCAAAGTAGAACTGTGCACCATAGAGTTTTGAATAGCTCATTTTTTAGCAATAGGTCGCCAGGACTTGATTCCTAGGTACCTCTGGGTGGACTCGAATTTCCAACCTTCAGTTAACAGCTGAGCGCATACATAGGCCTAATTCTTTCAGTAATAGTCAAGGTAGAATCACTGTAGAAGCACACTGCCTTATAGCACCTTTCCCCTAAGTCGTCCAGCCAGAGCTTAGACTATACACACCTTTCACAAGGGGGCAGAGCTGTGCCCACTGAGGGTGGTAAGTTTTAGGTTTGTGGCACGTTGTGTGTACACTGTCACAGCAGCTCTGAGGAGGCTGGCACTGTCCACGTTTTCTCTGAGAATTTAGAAGTGAAGCCTGATGCGTGTCAAACACCAAAAGTGGCCGGTGCTCCTGTCAGTGTTGTTGGCTGTCAACAGGTCAGTGCCCACGCATGGCGACCCCCCCACACAACAGAACGACCCCCCCACACAACAGAACAGAACGCTGCCCTGTCCTGGCTTGTCCTCAGGATGCTGGCACGTTTGAGTCCAGCTGTGGTGCCAGTTCATCTCACTCAGGGTCTCCCTCGCCCTCGCTGGCCTTCTACTTCACTAAACGTCATGTTCTCCTCTAGTGATTGATCCCTCCTGATGATGTGTCCAAAGCAAGCAAGTTGTTATGATACAGAGAGTTTTCGTTGGGCTACTTTTCAAAAGTAGATTGCCAGACCTTTCTTCCTAGTCCATCTTAGTCTGGAAGCTCTGCTGACACCTACCCACCATGGGTAACCCTGCTGGCATCTGAAATGCCAGTGGCATAGCTTCTAGCATCATAGCAACTCAAGCCACCATCGTATGACAAACTGACAGAAGGGTGGTGGTTGTTGTGACTAGGCTTCTCTATTGCACAGAGCAGGTACATGTGCCCGATGCGCAGCCCAGGAGTGGGGTGGGCAGTGAGAAGAGCAGCGTGCCAGCAGACGTCAGTTAGGACCAGTAAGCTGGGGTTTTGGACTCTTCAGTTGATGTGGAACTCCCACCCTGGCGGGGGCAGACCTAGCCCAGACCCCCAGAGCTGCCTGATTCACACTTCGGCCCTGGGTGACCTTGGCGGCACCTGAACCCACCAGGGCAGGCCGGAGGCAGAGCACTGGGCTCGGGTCTCACCCTGGGGTCTCATCTAGTCACTCCCCGGATGGCAGCACCCACCTATTTGCTGTGCTGCCCCCTCACAGCACCCATGGGCTCAGGCACGTGGTTTCTGCGAGGAACTCTGCCCTTTAGCATGTGAAATGCCAGCTGTGCGGGCATTTTTTTGGGAACTTGGCGCGTGTGTAACAGCGCTGTGTGTTAAATCACTGATGTCAGTCTCTGCCGTCCCAAAGCGTGGCCCTGTCTAGTGTAACTGGTATGTCTGAACTGTGGCTTTTCCTCTGCCAAAGGGCACTGTGCTGGCACTCACCGAGAGTAACTTCGACAACACTGTCGCAGAGGGAATCACCTTCATCAAGTTCTACGCCCCGTGGTAAGTGGCTCTGCGTTAGAAACTACCTTGTCCTCCTCTACGTACGTCCTGTGATCTTTCTCAGCTCGTCAGCCAGCCCTCCGGACTCAGTGTCAAGCAGATGGTACGTTTCCACGGCAGTGGGAGGGTGGGTGAGCAGAGGGACACGTGCAGGCCCCTGCGTTGAGGAGGTCACGTTGTTGGGAGGAAGGAAATGCTGTCATTCTGCTCACGCGCTCAGATATGTTAGAGGACGGCGCTTTCACAAACCAGTGTAGAGAGTGAGATTCGTTTCTTTTAAACAAGTTCAGTCTACTTTGGAGAAGCCATTCAAATAGAGGAAAAGAACTATGCTGGCCATACAAAACATCAAGGTTGGTGGGATCTGTACCTCTCCAAATCGATGGTTGTTTTGATTACAGAATGAACATGATGATAGAGCTTTTCTTCTCAGTCTGTTTTAAATAACGTTGTTAGGGAAACCCAGTACAGCTCAGCTTTCAATATGTTACTCAAAGACTTGAACCTCTTGCCACATGGTCTTCAGGTTCCAGAGCATAGAATGGCTGCTGATAGCTTGATACCAAGCCAACCTGCCATGTGGGAAGACGGTGGGATTGGAGCCAGGGAGCTGGAGATGGGGCCCCAGACTCACTGTCAACCAACAGTAACTTTGGGGGGCCTTTGGTTCCTTTGAACCTGCATCCTCAGCAGTAAAATGGGAACGCTGTCTTCCCAAATAAAGCAGTCCACTGGGAAAAGCAGGGTGTTTCTGAGAGTGTTAGAGGCTTTCATAAACACGAATGAGTAGGCTCACCACACGTCATTTCTGCTCTTCAGTTGGTTACAGGCATTTGTGAGAAACAGCAGTGAGAAAAAGTTGATGAGCCCATGCTTCCTATGAGTTGTGCAGTTTTTAATCTTAAAGAATAGAAATATTAGCAAATAATGCCTTTAAGATTATTTTCCATTTTTTAAAAACCTAAGCTGCTGTCTAGCTCCGGTGTGAAGAAGGGAGATGGCCTTTTACTGAAGGGGAACAGTTAGTATGATGGTGAGAGGGTCCAAAAAGGAGAGGAAATCAGGTGAACAGGTAGCAGGGAGGGCTCACACCACCTCAGTGACACTTAGAGGAAGCTTCGAAGTTGTTTTGAAAATTTGAGACCATAAGCAATCAAATTGAAAATAGTGTGGAATTCAAGGGGTTTTTAAAAAATGTTGGGAGTGTCTTCTGTGTCTTGCTCATGTCCTTCCGTTCGTGGTGTGTCCATAAACGAGTGAGCTTAGTTCACCAGATCGTGGAAAGGGTCTCGAGAATTTAAACTTGTTTCCGGATCAGCTTACTTACAGCAGCTGAGCCAAAGTCTGCTTTGGAATGCCTTTGAATTCCTAATTGGGATAGGGAGAGCAGGAGGAGGAAGAAAAGTTAGTGTGCCCCCACTGGGAGAATTCCACGTTTTATAAATTGCTAGGCAATTGTTAACTGCCTCACACAGAAGAAGCAAGGCTTGGCTTGGCAGTAAAATGCAGGTGAATGAGCTCGACCCAAGAACGTCAACAAAACTGTCACTGTTGTGTTCCTAGGTGTGGCCATTGTAAGAATCTGGCTCCCACTTGGGAAAAACTCTCTAAGAAGGAATTCCCTGGTTTGGCAGCGGTCAAGATAGCCAAAGTGGACTGCACTGCCGAGCGGAATATCTGCAGCAGATACTCGGTAGGTAGACCCAGACGGACACATTTATGGCAACTTTGAGTGCCGCTAGCAGACCCCAGGGGGCACTGTAATTTGTGCTGTGGACTCAACCAAGATAATTCACATCACCCTCACTCTTTCAACAGTGTTTTTTGTTTTCTTTTGAGATTTTTGTTTTTTCGAGGGGCAAAAGAGATACTCTCCCAAGGGAAAAGCTTGTTGTTCTTCTCCGTTATTAATTAGTATATGTCTTTCTATGGGCTTTACTTAGCTCTTGTCATCTGGCTATGGGACTTTGCAATATGGAGAACCTAAGCATTGAGATGGGGCACTCCTGAAATGGGCAGTGCTGCTCATTGACTGAATACCAGCTGGGGTATAGCCTTCATCATAAATACCCCAGTGGTTGGTGTCTTCAGACAAAAGCCAGCATTCTAAAGTATGGTGACTGAACGAAGGACATATTAGAACCTAAGCTTCCTTCTGAGGGAGCCATACCCACAAGCTAGCCTTGCGCTTGGGCTGTCTCACTGTTGCCTATAGTCAGGACTGTTGGCACAGTCTGTGAGCATGTGGGGTAGCCTAGAAGAACTGTAACTTTTCTTTTTATGTGGTTGTCTTAAAATACTTTTGGGGCCAGGTGGTACAAATGGTTAAGCAACTGGCTACTATCTGCGAAGTTGGTGGTTCAAATCCACCCAGAGGCAGCTCGGAAGAAAGGCCTGGCAATCTACTTCCAAAAGGTCACAGCCATTGAAAACCCTATGGGGCACAGTTCCACTGTGATACACGTGGGGCTGCTATGAGTTGGAATCAACTTGATGGCTACTGGTTTTGTTTTTATGAGATGTTACTAATGCACTGTGTAAATTCAAAAGAGTGGGAGAGAAAAGAGAGAGGAGTTTCAGGCATGCTGGACGGCACCTGATTGCTTAAAGTATACCGCCTCCTCAGACTGAGACTGGATGGAGCACTGACATAGTTTACTGATCGTTAATAGACCAAAAAAAAAACAACCACACCCATTGCCATCAAGCCGATTCCTACCTATGGCGACTCTATAGGACAGAGTAGAGGTGCCCCATAGGGTTTCCAAGGCTATAACCTTTACGGAAGCAGATCGCTAGGTCTTTTCTCCCTCAGAACGACTGGTGGATTCCAACTGCCCTTTCGATCAGCAGCTAAGCGCTTAACCGTTGACCACCAGGGCTCCTTCATTAGTAGACATGGTTATGTATGGCTTCAGAGCCTTAAGATACCCAGAGAGAGAAGTGGGATGCAGCTGAAAGTGTCGATCCTTTCGGACCTTGCTGCTACTCACCGTGTGGCCCACAGACCAACATGGGCATCTCCTGGGAGCTTGTTGGAAATGTAGCGTCTCAGGCCCACCCCGACCTGCAGAATCAGAATTGGCATTTTCACAACCTCCCAGGTGTTAGTGGGCAGATTCCAGACTGAGAAGCACTGCTTTGGGATAAAGTCATTCCGAGGACACTAATCTTCAGTGTAGCTTTGGGTTAAAAATGAATACATAGTCCCAAGGCTTTGATGTTTAATCTATTTGGTACATTCTTAGACATCATCAAAATTTAACCATAGAATTTCCCAGCTACAGCTGTAGGAGGTTATTTGGATTTATTTAAGAAGCAATTTGTATTTTCAAATTATTAATTTTTTTTGTTGTTGTTTTAATTTTTTTTAAGGTACGAGGCTACCCCACATTGCTGCTTTTCCGAGCAGGGAAGAAAGTCAGCGAATACAATGGTGGTCGGGACCTGAAGTCTTTGTACCAGTTTGTCCTGCGTCAGGCAAAAGATGAACTATGAGAGCCCAGTGGGATGTTGCCTCCGCTGCCTGGCTGCCTCTCCCCAGCGCACAAGAGTTAGATCATCCTGATGTTGCAGGGTTTCAAAGCAGTGGTTCTTGGGAAAGCTGAATGTACTAAACTTGTGGTATCTTCTTTGTGTGTTTAAGCCAACACACTATAAGGTTTCTTTATTAACTTTCTCTAGTAAACGTGTAACTCATGGTCACTGTGAAAACTAAATATTTTCAGTGGCAATACATCCCGTTTCACCTTCTCTTGATGAAATTTAAATGGTTTCCTTTGAGACTAAAATAGAGTTGAGGAAAATCAAACTGCCATACTATTTTTGGCTTTGGAGCAATTTTGGCAAAAGCGTCATAGTTTTGAACTGCCCATGAGTACCGGAAGGGTGGCCTGTGGCAGTACTGATGTTCTTCTGACCTGAAGGTCACAATTGGCTTATTAATAAAGGGGTTGGTCAGTAGCTTGGAACCCACACCTCTGGAAGATACCCTTCACGCCCACTGCTGGAATGTCTGCGTCTGTTGCGGCCTCTCTCCTCAGGAGAGGTCAGCCACGTGACAGCAGCGGTACTACAGACATGTGCCTGAGTAAGATAATGCTGATGCCATAACTTCCTGTGTGTCTGTATTTGTCAGATCAGTTATAATTGTTCAAGGGATACCTTTGTTTCTCATGGGGTGGAAGATTTCATCAGTTAATTATGTTAACATAAAGACAGAGTCCAGCTAGACTTTAAAATGGGATAGTCTTCCATGGAAAATGTGGACATGGGACATTCCACGAGGTTCGTGCTGACTATTCTGTTAGCTCATAAAAAAGACTCTGGTCACACCTGTCACCTGAGGCAACAGGAACAGATGGACTCTCCCTTGGCCTTGGGCGTCCAGGGACCAGGGAGAGACTGCGGCCTTGCAGAGGGCCCTAACTGGAGGCAGTTTCAGACTTTGTTCTTTAAAGCACAAACAGTCCTTTTAGGGACTTGCTCTACACTGTCTGCTTTTGAGAAGGTTGACCTCAAGACCAAAGACTGAATGGGGCAGGGCTGTCTTCCAGTCCGTGTTAGTGCCCTTCTAGCCTGTGCCATACAGGTTATTCCATGTCTAAGGTCACCCTTGGAAGTAACCAACTATAGGACTGAGATCCCTTAGGATATGCATGTGTGTTATTCACCATCAGGTTATTTCCTAAGATAACCACCTTGTGTCTGACACCCTTCATCCTACCCCCATGCACAGGGTGACGCTGTCATTTGGCCCAAAGTAACTGGTGGTGGGACTCTCAGAAACGAGACCACGCATACTGTCCAAGGCAGAAGATCACAGAACAACATCTCTACTAGCCTCTGCCTTACAGGAAGCCTTTATTAATCATGTACGGCTCACGGGTGTCCTTTAAAAATCCCAACTTCCTCGAGAAGCACACAGTTCTCACGAGGGACTTCAGCTCGGTGTCATGAGTCTTGTATTAAGAGAAAATCAGAGTGGTACAATTTGTTTACACGATGATACTTTCTAAATAAACTCTTTTTTTTTTAAAAAGTCTAGTCTCTCCTTAAATGTTACAGCAACACACATATAAAATAGACAATAAATTATAGTTTATATTTACAAAAAAAGGCTGTAAGTGCAAACAGTTATAGATTATAAATGTATTATTTAATCAGCTTAGTATGAAGTTGATTTCCTAGTACATGACTGTGAAAAAGATATTTTAAAAATATTCCAAAATTTACTCTGAGCCTTTTCTACAGGAAAAAACTGTGATTTCAGTTCCTAAACAGCATGCTTACCCGAGCCTATTCTTAAAGGGTGGGCGCCCCTTTTGTACTTTATGTCCTTTGCTGGTCCTAACCCTGGGACATAGGATGCTGTATAGTAAAAGGCAAAGAACTGTTTTACTGTAATAGATGAGACATTGGAGCCAGCGTTCCGGAAGTTAGTGTGCTTTTCACAGAGCCATTCCAATAAAGAAGAGGTGCAACGTTGCTTTCACACGTTGCGTAGTTCAAATGATGGCAATTAAGGGCGCTCCTCTCGCAAAGTACAATACGTCTGCTTTGGCTCTTATAATTCAGCAAAGGCTACAGCAAATGGGAAGATCAGGGTGTGCAGATGATATGGTTGGTTTTGAGTGAAATAGTGTATTTTCACCCCAACAAAGCTCTAGCACAGACATGTAGTGGCAGGACTCTGACACAAGGCACTTCCGAACGGCCCTGGTTACGGCCCCGGCTGCTGACCCTACGGGAAGTTGGCCTTCCTGGGAATGAAAGCTATGGATGGAGGCATTTCCCCCAATTTCTGTTATCTGTAAAATCTTCCTTTGGTAAACACCACTGAACTGGCTGATGTGTTCAGCCTAGAATAGTTTTCCTCCTTTAAGATTATTTTCCGTATTTACTCACGAACACCACAAATAGCTTGATCTAAAAGTAAAACTAATTTTGGTGGGCTTTTCTTGGGAAAACCATTTAAAGGTACGCTACTGAATTCAACCAACATACAGACATTCAAGCTCAGTTTCCTACAAACCAACTACTCATGTTATTTACCAAATGAGCAGATTACTAGCAAAGTCCTTGAAAGTCTTCCTTGGGCAGTAAGGCACCAGCAGGTGAGTGATTCAAAGTCCCATTCTTTTCCTCACACTCCTGTGTGTTTTTAAGGCAGATGCAATCCAGGAATCCGAGGCAGAATCCCCAGCAGCTAGTTTCAGGTCAGTGGCATCCACAAGCCCTTACAACCATGTTCCTGTACTTTTTCAGGATGACATTGGAGTTGTCATCAAAGTAGAGAACAGAGATGGCATTTAGTTTGGTTGGCGCGCAGCATGGTTTGGGGACATACTCGGGATTCATAAGGTGGACCTGTTCCAAAACAGAAGACAGAAAAGATAAACCACTATAAGCTCCACGTGGTCTCAGCTGACTTCTACTCACAAAGTTCAGAATCCCCGCGAGCTCACCAGGGTCTGCACGATGGCATGATTCGTTGCGTTCATGTGTGCATTGAGGGGGAAGGAGCATTCTCCGTCACAGTAATTGGCAGCATAGCCCTTGGGTGCGATTATCCAGTCCTTCATTTAAAGCAAAAGGAAACAAACAGAAAACGGAATTACATGCACTCGCTACATCGTCTCATCCACACTGGACAGGGAAGGAAACAGACCTGGGGAGGTATATGTTTTTCTCCAAGGTGACATTCACGTGGCAAAGCTGGTTTGAACCTGGTCTGACCCGAACCCTAGCTCGCTCTGCAGGCCCACCCCACCTCCAGCTGTTACACACCTGGGTGCCTGAAAGCATGCAGGTGGCTGGCTTCTTGTACTGGAATCCAAAGGGGCCTCCAGGAGGCCACGGTACTCCTGGCATCATGATGCCACCTGCACATTGAAGCTATGTTCCATCCCTCATCACCTGTAATCAAACTGGCTTCTTTCTTTACAGACTAGTGATGGCACTCAGGTTTGGGTCAAGACATGTCTGCTTTTCTGGATAGTTTGGGTGGCCCAATTTGTAGCCATTGGAGAAGTGAGCCATTAGGTTAGATTTTTCCAACCCTATCTCAAAAACAGATTTAAATATGTGTAAGGGCCCAAATAAATATATACCCCATGGGCTTTTAAAGAATGAGGGAAGAGTATGGTAGACTGTGGCTACTGACATGGAAGGATCACAGGAGGGCTTGGGGTGCCCTGGAAAGGGGCCAGCTGGGTGCACAGGTGGGCTGGGCCTTCCTTAGTCTGACCCCTGGGGCCTGAGCACTGTAAGGGCTCAGCTCAGCCCTCAAGCTCTCAGTCTTTGATGATAGCTGCCACCATTAGATGAGAGGAGACTCACCTGCCATCCCAGGTCCTGGAAACTCACGTACAGCTCATGCTTTCTGCAGGCCGTTTTCAACTCACTGCTGTTGTAATCTGTTAGAGGGGATCAAATGATGGCGCCATTAACTCATCCATTCATTCTTTCATTTAAGAGTTTATGTGTAGTGTTTGCCGTGTGCCAGGCACTGTACTGGGCTCTGGGGAGAGGAGTGAACAAGGCCGTTGCAAGGCCCACATTTAGTCACTGGAGTTTTTTGTACTTCCCTGTATCCACTATGGTGTCAGTGCTGAGCCCACTGGTGCACAACACCTAGTGCGGACTTCAATGGAGTCCTCTACTGTGAGCCCTACTGAGTGACAGTGTACTGGGCCCGTGGGGGATGAGCCAGGACACCCAGAACCCCAAGATTTGGAAGATGTTGTTTCACATGAAACAGACCACTGTACCAAAATTTGATAAATCTCAAACATGGACAGTCTTGAAGCTGCACAGGTACTTTGAAGATAGCTGCTGGACCAGGACAATATGCTGAAGGAAGTATGATGGAAGCAGGTGAAACCAGGAGAACAAGGAATCGGGGAGATAGACCTGCAGCAGGAACAAGATCTCTGGCATTGTCCATCCTTCAGTCTCGTGCAGCGTTGAGCTATTACACCTGCACTATAGCAATGACTTCTAAGCCAGGAGTTCCCAAGCAGAAGCTTCTGTACCTGCGCTGTGCAATACAGGAGTGACCAGCCAGGCTTAATGTAATCACTGTGACCAGACTCGCCGAGGTGGGTCAGAGCAGCTATTTTGTGGCATGCCCTCTGCTAGGAACCACAGGAAATAGGGAGGCAAGGTAGACATGGCTTCTATCCTCCAAGAACTTAGAGAATTGAAGGGGTGGTGTATACCCCTTCATGTGTACAAACAACCAAAACATAAAATAGAATATGGGTAAGGGCCCTAGGAAAAGACCACTTAGGGTTCAGAGAAGGGAGAGTTCAGGGAGAGCCAGAGGGAAAGAGAGTAGCCCTAGAGTGAGTTTAGGGACTGGATTTAAGGATGTGTAAAGAGGATCAGTGAAAGAGAGGAAGACCCTCAACGAGATGGATTGACACAGTTGCTGCAACAACAGGCTCAAGCATAACAATGATTGTGAGGATGGCACAGGACTGGGAAGTGTTTCATTCTGTTGTACACAGGGTCGCTATGAGTTGGAACCGACTTGACGGCACCTAACAACAACAACAAAGAGGAGTCAGACTAGGAAGAAAGGCCTGGTGATCTACTTCTGAAAATTAGCCTATGAAAACCCTATGGGTCACAAGACAATATTGTCCAGTATAGCGCTGGAAGATGAGGCCCCTAGGTTGGAAGGCACTCAAAATACACAGTGGCTGCAACAATGGATTCAACCACACCAACGTTAGGTCACCTGAGTCGGAGCAGACTCCAGGACAACTAACAGCAGCAAAGAGGAGTCAGGTGAGAAAAAGTTGGAGAAATAAATGGCCTAGGATGCCAACCAAAATGATTTGTACTTTCTAGCAGAGGCACAAAGAAAGTCCTTGGAGGTTTTTGAGCCAGAGTGACATGTTAAGAATTGTGATTCTAAAGGATTAATCCTGTAGTGATGCTTGAGAGTTCCAGAGAGGGAAGAGAAATGAAAGGTGAGGAAAACACTTTGGAGAAAGGTTTTTAATCTAAAACGGACTTCAGTGGATACAAGAACCTTGATGTTATGTGCGTGTTACCTCAGTACCTTTCAATTGCATGAGCCCAGAAACTACCTCACTGGTTAAAGCCTGTTTGAACTGAGTTTTCTGTTACTTGCAGTCCAGGACCTCCTGGCCCTGAGGCAGGAGAGAGCATAGCAGATTTTAGATTTTGTAAGGGAACTGGAAAAACAGCACCAGGTCAGCCCAGTCAGCTATGTGGGAGGAGAGACAGGCCCCCTTTCTTAGGTGGTTTGCTGATTCTAAATGTATCCATTCCTCCCACCAGCCTACCTCACCTCACAGAACCACTTAGCTAGGACAGCAAGTCCCCTAGAAGAAGCAAATGCAAAGCCAAACTGTAGGAAAATTTTCACAGTTTAGGGCACCAAAAACAAATAAACAACAACCACCACAGAACAAGACAAAAACCTCCTGCTGAAAATAACCTCACAACAAAAAAGAAACAGAAATGCACTATCCTGAGAAGAGAGCGAGAATCCAAGAGACAGGACACCCAGGAGCCTAGGGAGGCATGTAAGTCTCTGAAAGAGGTTAGAAGTAAGAATAATTAAAATAATGGAAGAGATTTAAAAAAAAAAAAAGGACTAGAAACCATAAAGAAAGGCCATTATAGGAAAAGAACATGAAAAAAGAACAGGTAGATTTGAAAAAGAACCAAATAGAACTTTATAAAAACTATAATCATGGGAAATAAGAGTTAAGTGAATTGGTTAAACATCAGATTAGATGTTAACTAAAGAGAGAGTTAAAGAACTGAACAATGTATTTGAAGAAGCCTCCAAAAATACAGCATGGAATCAAATAGCCAGAAATTATGGCTTACTCTCTGTAAAGAGATAGGAAAGATAGAATGAAAAAGTCCAACATATTTCTAATGGGAATTTCAGAAGAGAGTAATGGAAAAAATAATATTTGAAGATTTATTGGCTGGGAATTTTCTAGAACTGAAGAAATGCAAACAGCTTTAGATTGGAAAGGCATGAGTCCTAAGCAGGATAAATAAATTCATATCTGGCCACATCTGGTGAAACTAGGATATCAAACACATAAATTCTTAAAAGGAACGAGAGGTGAAAAGAAAATTC